TAGCACTTTTTTTTTTTTTTTGTCTCCTTCTGAATCCATTTTTATGGATCTTGGAGTTCGTGTTTCGGGTCATGAAAACGGTTCTTCTCCGGGTCAAACTGAACTCGGATCTGGTTTCAGCAACAAGCAAGAAAGATCCGGTTTCGATGGTGAAGATTGCTGGAGAAGTTCAAAGCTCTCAAGAACATCATCAACTGGTGGATTCTCTTCTTCCTCTGCCTCTGCTAAAACACTGTCGTTTCATCAAGGCATCCCTTTACTGAGATCTACCACTATTGATCCTCGTAAAGGACAAGAACATATGCTTAGCTTCTCTTCTACTTCCGACAAATCAGATGTCTCACCTTATCTTCAGTACTGTAGAAACTCAGGTCTGAACTAAAAAAAAACTAAAGTACTCTGCTTTTTTTTTTACTTTCTTGAAATGGGTTTTGCTTAGAGTTTGATTTAAAGAAATGGATTTTGATTAGAGTTTGATTTAGTGAAATGGTTTAAGAAGTCTTGCTTGGGACATATTGGCTTTGTTGTGGTGTCAGGATATGGTTTAGGAGGAATGATGAACGCAAGCAACATGCATGGAAACTTGTTTACAGGAGTAAAAGGACCTTTTTCATTGACCCAATGGGCAGAGCTAGAGCAACAGGCTTTGATATATAAGTATATCACAGCCAATGTCCCTGTGCCATCTAGTTTACTTCTCTCTCTCAAGAAATCTTTTTTCCCTTATGGATCTTTGCCTCCTAATTCTTGTAAGTTCTCTTCCTTATCTTTTTTTATTAAAGATTTGGTGATTCCTTTTATCTTCTATACATTAGCCAAGTATCAACTTTATGCTATCTTTTTTAGATTATAGTACTTTGGAACAATAATCTTGTATGGATTGGTGATGGGTTTATTAGGGGAATGTTTGTTTGTTTGTTTGTAGCCCATTGGTGTTTTTATGAGATCTTGAGAGTCTTTGTTTTGTGTGTATATGATGTAGTTGGATGGGGCTCTTTTCATCTGGGCTTTTCCGGTGGTAACATGGATCCCGAGCCCGGGAGATGTCGTCGGACAGATGGAAAGAAATGGCGATGCTCGAGGGACGCTGTTCCCGATCAAAAGTACTGTGAACGACATATTAACAGAGGCCGCCATCGTTCAAGAAAGCCTGTGGAAGGCCAAAATGGCCACAATACTAATGCTGCCGCCGCTTCTGTCGCTGCTTCTACTGCTGCTGCTGTGTCCAAAGCGGCTGCAGGGACTTCGGCTATTGCCATGCGTGGATCAGATAATAACAATATCCTTACCGCTGCTATTGGAACACATCATCATGCCAATAATCAATCTACAGATTCTTTGGCTAACAGGTGAAAACGTTTAAAATCTCTTTTTGAAATATTTTTTGCCTTTTTGATATAACCTATCTTCATATTCTTAAGTTTTAATGTTCATACCTTTTTTTAACTTTTTTTTTCTTCTTTGCCCTATGAGTAAGTACTAAGTAGACCCACCAATTCATTATTACTACATCTTTTATGATTGTGACCACTCCTTATTAATTGAGGCTTAGGATTCCATATATTTGGATTTTTTGTTTTTATGAACTGTTTTCTCTCCTTTTCTTGATGATTCAATGATGCACAAATTAACAATTCTATTGTGAAATCTTAATGGTTGTTTGTTGCATCGCAGAGTTCAAAATTCTCGAGGGGCTTCGGCTTTTCCTGCCACGATTAACTTACAGTCGAAGGAAACTCATCCGAAACAAAGCAATAATCCTTTTGAATTCGGACTCATCTCCTCTGATTCGTTACTTAATCCGTCGCATAAACAAGCCTCTTATGCAAACTCTTCGAAAGGCTTTGGATCGTATCTTGACTTCAGCAACCAAGCGAAGCACGCGGGGAATCACCACAATGACGATTCTTGGCCTGAAGAGCTGAAATCGGATTGGACTCAGCTCTCAATGTCAATCCCCATGGCTCCATCTTCTCCTGTACAAGATAAACTTGCACTCTCGCCTTTAAGGTTATCGCGGGAGTTTGACCCTGCGATCCACATGGGATTAGGCGTCAATACCGAGTTTCTTGAGCCTGGGAAAAAGACGAGTAACTGGATACCAATCTCCTGGGGTAATAACAACTCCATGGGAGGTCCACTCGGCGAGGTACTAAACAGCACGACGAATAGTCCCAAATTTGGTTCTTCTCCAACGGGCGTCTTGCAAAAGTCGACATTTGGTTCTCTTTCTAACAGCAGCTCGGGAAGCAGCACCATCATTGGCGATAACAACAATAAGAACGGTGATGGAAAGGATCCGCTTGGCCCGACCACGCTGATGAACACTTCTGCTACTGCTCCTTCTCTGTGAAACTAAAAAAAAAAAACTAAGGACGATGGCGAAAACAAAACACTCTGTTTTTCTCTGTTTCTGTTCTTTCTTACTTGATGCATTGTTGTCGTTGTTGTTGTTGTTGTTTTCTTTCTATATAAAGCCAGAAGAAACTAAAGGAGAGATGTATTTTTTTTCATAATCTTTGTTCTTTGTTTTTCCTCAAAGACCCGTTTCTTCTCCATCTTTCTGAATTCTGAATCAATGGATTTATTTGTTCTCAATCATCAAATTCTTGATTTTATTGTTCCTCTTATAGCCGTTGAGCTGAAACCACTGGTTCTAAAATTGAAAAGTATACAAAAATTTTACATTTTACACTAAGTCACTAACCAAACATAATAAAAACCAGGGTTAGTGTCAAAAATTTGTGATCCTTAAGAAATTTTGAAGAGGTTTCCTAGTTGCAGACAAGAGGCAACATTGTTTGTGGATTGGACATAGAACACTTCTTCAAAACAACTGTCTCCAACTTTAGTTTTTTTGGCTCTGTTTCTTCAAAACCTCTCTCAAAAACAGCCGCCTCCGCTCAAAATTTCTGATCTTCGTTTGCCCTCTCCGGTGGCCAGCGCTCCTCGCCGCTGCCGTGAGAGGGTCTTTTAGCTTCTTCTTCGTTGTTGCAGTGAGTTCTTTCGATCGTTTAGCTCATGGATTTCTATGGAGAAAGGCTTTCCTTTGGCTGTGACGGTGAATCTTCTTGGCGAGGCTTGTTGGCTTCGTCGGTGGTCAGCTTCTCCTCTGAGAGTTGTTGTTGGGTGTCCGAGATCTGTCGATCTGGCGGGTGCTCGTTTCTGGTAAGTTTGGGCGAGGTTTTTCGCGAATCAATGGCCATGGTTTCGTCCGTTTATCTTGTCCGGTAAGCCAGCCTTCTAGTTCCGTGGGTTAGATGGAATCGTTTTAGGTTGTTTCTTTTAGGTCTTGTTGTGGTATGTGAGGCTTGAATTTATGGAGGTGGCTCTATTTGTGGTTTTTGAAATTGGATCTTTGCTCTACCTCTCCTTCGAGTCCTCTTGCTGGTCAGGGGTTGCGATTTGCTCTAGTTTCGTTCTTGGTGTGAGCCATTTTGATGGTATTTTGTTGCTGAGTCACCTACTAGCCTCTCTTTGAGTTTCCTTTGGAAGTTTTGGAGTTAGGTTCTAGTCGAAGCAGTGGATTCGTTCTCTAGTTCTTCTCTTGCGAGGACGTCGTCAGTTTTATGTCTGTAGGTGGCTGAAGCTGTTTCGACGAGTGTCCGCGTGTAAGAATTGTTGAGCTTTCATGGTTTCTCTCCAGTCGATTTCAAGGTTTTGCCTTGACCCTAGTGTTTCTTGCTCTCTCTGATTGACTGGTGAGGTGTGTTGGTAGTTGTATTTGTGTCTCTGGTCGCGTTAGATTCTTGCTTTCCTCCCTGCCAGTTTGCTTCTGGTTTGTCTTCGGTGTGAGGTATATCCGGTCTTATTGGTGCTTCTGGCGTTTACAGGTTCTATAGGGAAGCTTTGTGAGTGTCTCTCGTGCCTTTGTTCAATTATAGTGCTTAGATTGCTCTTTCTCCATGACGTTTGTTTCCTCTTTAGATTTTTGTTTCTATGTTTGATTTTAATCAGTTTCCCTGTACTTTAGGGCTTTGTTTCCCTCTTTTGGGCAAATGTTTCTGGGGACATTCATGTCGTCCGCTCCATCTTGTAACTCTCTTGGTTTATTACTTCAAACGAAAAAAAAAAAAAAACTACTTTTTGCTCTTCTCTCTCTAACCCTACCTTTTACTTATTCCTGTTTCTGTTTTTTCTTCAAGAAAAATGAAATTGATTATAAAGAGTGGAGGAGGACCAATCTCTCAATTTATGGATGGTCCATTCGTTTTTTAATTTGGATTCTTTTGTGTATTTTTGGAGATTTTATTCTACAACGTGGCATGTGTGGGACGATCCAGACACTTCCACTTGCACTAGACACGACAATTCTTACCGAATAAATATCTTCAATAGATGCTTCAAGAGTACAGTATTAGACAGTACTCTTATTGCTTACATTAACTTGCATCTTTATTTCTTTTCATATGATAAATTTAGAGGAGAATTAATAAATAACAATATTTTTCCAAAATCGTTCCTACCAAAAAAAAAATATTTTTCCAAAATGGTTAATAGTTTTGCATGTATTTTGTAAGCGACGTTATTCACTTATATAAGTGAGACAGTAAAATTTTTAGCAAATAAGCCATTGAGTTCAATGAAAACTGAAAAGTATGTTAATTATAGGAGATTTTTGATAAATTTCATCGGTCGATCCGGTCAGTCCCGGTTAAAACGCATCAAAGTGTTTTAGAGTGGACTTTTCCCAGAAGAGTCACCACACTATCTGTCCCGAATTTAGAATGTTTTCCGACTAATGTTAGAGGATAGTCAGATCGTCTGTTACTGGACTACTAAGTAAACTGCTTGGGTCTTTGGCCTAAACCCAGACTTCCACACAGACGTGTTTTTTTGTTTCCAGCGTAGATCGAACTTGGGTTAGTTCCATCGAACCTTGATAAATATATAATTTTGAAAGGTAGTCAATTAGTGGGTTGGTTAGTTACATATAATTTAGCCCACTTAAATCTATCTAATGGGCCTTGATAAATATGATTAGAGAGGCCCAAATACGAAACAACAGCAAAAAAACAAAGTCCATTATCTAAGTAACACTCATATTCTCATTTTTACACATAAGAGAGATCAAAAGAGAGACAGAAATAAAAATACTTCGCTTTGATCTGAATTTTTTCTTCTTTCTTTCTAAACTTTTTTTTTTCTTTCTATTTTTTCTCAAATCATTTGTTGATGATTGATGATCAATGATGGATTCTGCTGAAGCTGTCTGAGAATCAAAATCTGCCTCATCTCCAAGAATCTTCGTCTGAGAATCTCTTGTTCCGACAAAAGCCGATTGTTGTCCGTACATATCAGTTCGATGTTGTACAAAACGATTCGGAGCCGGTTTCCAAGTTCCCGGTTTTCTAAACCGAGTCGGTTTGCTTCGTCTTTTAGATTCTCAATGTGTCTTTGTTTACGCATCCTCGACCGCTTTGCTGATTCTCGGTTTGATTCCATCCGTTTGCGTTTACGGTCGTCAGTCACCTGCAAAACCGGCCGGTTCAATTTATTCCGGTTATGGTCTGGGGCGTTAATCCGGATTCTCGTGTTGCCCGAATCTAATTCGTCGGATTGAGGACTTGGTACGCCGTGGAAAAGGTCGGAATCATCAGAACCGGAGTTCGTTTTGATAGAACCGATACAAGATTCGTCAAAACCGTTAAAACCGGTATTAATTTTGACAGAACCGGTTTCGGATTCACCAGAACAAGGACTCGGTACGACCGGTTCGAGATGGATAGCAGAGAAGAGATCGGAGCAGTCCAATTCCCAAAGAGTGAATCCGGTCTGGAAATCCGATATTTGGTTAACCAAACCCGGTGCAGTAAAGGAAAAGGCCGGTACAGTAGACATCATAATGACCGGTTCAAAATTGTGTAATTAGAGAGATGAGAGAGAAGAGAAGGAGAAAAGGGAAGAATTGAATTGAAGGAGGCTGGAATTTAAAGAAAATTTTGATAAGGGTATTTTGGTAATTTTGAAAATACGATGTATGACCGTATATTATACGTATAACGACTTTTGAGTCATGTGGCACTATGTGGGGTTAGTATTATTTCAAACCCACTTTTATTTAAAGTAGGAAAACATTTCGTGGGACACCAATAGCTCTCGTTTATGGTCACTTTCTGAAAATAAAATAAGATTAAAATTGTTAAACCAAATGTTTTGTTATAGCTTAGTGATGAAGAAACAGTCCATATTTAACACATGCATTGTCCATTCATCTAATTTGTCGCCATTGTATTTGAATCTAGATTTAACAACAGAATAAAAAAAGAAGTTTAAATAAATAAAATAATTTGAGGCTCAAAAAAAGAATATGGTATCGTTGGTATGATTTATATGTGTAGTTGGTGTAATTAGTGTGGTTGATGCGATTGATATGAAACTACTAAACAAGAATTTTAATCAGAATGTTCGTTTTTGGTTTTTTATTTTTTTAAAAAATGTTAGATAGTAAACCTACTTTTATATGATTTTAACTAAATCCAGCTTTTTATTTTATATTGGTTAGTATCAAAACTGTTTTTTCTTTTCCACAAAATGTTTGAGTAAGTTGTTTATATGATTTTATACTAAAAACAATTTGAGAAACAATATATTAGTTGGTACCTGGTGTAACGACCAACTAAAAATAACTACTGAATACTGATATTTTCTCAATATGTTAAACTTTTTGTGGGTTTTATCAATCTTAATAAGTAATTTCCAAAATTACCAAATGACTTTTCCGAACTGACGATGATTCTAGATGGAATCCAAGACCAACAATGGTGAGGACAAAATTTAATTGGAATTAAACAAATATTATGTTTTAACATAAAAGTAATTAAGAACGAAAGAGAATCTTATCAAATAAATAATATGTCCAACAACAAATTAATGATTTTTAAATAAATTTTGTACCCTAAATTTTCGGTTAGCTAGTTTATTCGAAATAAGAAGAAAATAAAGAAGAGAAAAAACCAACAAAAAAAAAAGCCGTAAAAAACGCTCCCCTTTTTTGGGCTCTAGACTCTCTTATTCTAAAAGAGGTTTCATGTCTTCTAGAATATAGAGCTTCTTTGTCAAAACACGTTGCATCTGTCTGATTTTATCCGATTTAGGCCTTTTCTCGACCTAATTTTCCAAATCGTTCAAGAAAATTAGGTTCTTTCTTACTGTTCTTCCTTCTAAACCTGAGTCTGTGATTTGGTTTGGAAAATTTTCAGTGAGATTTCGTTTGAGCTGCCTGTAGATTCTCGATTACGGGGTATAGAATTCCTAGGCTTGCTTGGTGAGTTCTTGTCTCCGGTCTAACGAATCTACGGTGATTTCTCTTGGTTGTTGGCCTCTCGTTTGGGTCAAGCTTCGGTTCTGTTTTCGTAAGCTGTTTGGTTGTAGATCTGGTCCGCCTAGTCACAGTTGTTTGGTTTTCTGGCTCCGGTTCTAAGATTAGTTTTAGCTTCTGTGAAAGTGAGATGACGGCTGCAATGGATAAAGCTCTTATGGCAATGTCTCTTGAAGAAGAAGATGTTCCTTTCATCATGCCAGATCTTCCTGAGTTTAGCTCGTGTGAACGAAATGTTCTCAGTCTGATAGGTAGGATTTTAAACCCTGATTGTCAAACTATTTCAGGTGTGGTTCACAATATGCCAAGGAAATGGCAAAAATCTGCTCGTGGGGTGGCTTTGTCTAAGGAAAGATTTCAATTCATTTTCAAGAATGAATACGACCTAGAGGAAGTTTTGCAGAAAGGATTTCAAACATATAATGAATGGGCAATTGTTATTGAGCGTTGGTATGAAATTCCACCACCAGATTCTCTTCAATTTACTCATATATGGGTCCAAATTCGTAATATCCCTGTAAATTACTACACGGAGTTAGCTATATCGTCGTTGGGAGAAATTGTTGGTCAAGTGGTTCAAGTGGCTTTTGATCCAACGAGGGTTCAATCTGAGGACCATGTTAGAGTTCAAGTCAAATTCGATGTCTCCAAGCCTCTCAGAAAATCTAAGATTATCGGGCTTCCACATAATCAGTCAACAGAGATCTTCTTTTTCTATGAAAGAGATCAGAAACGCTGTTACAACTGCCAAAGATTATCTCATGAAAAAGAGGTATGTCCTATCTTCGTTAATGCTCGACAAGCTGCAGCTATTGACAGAAGACTTGGGAACAAGGTTCCAAAACCTGTGGCTCCAAGAATATTATCTGTGAATGATCCTTTATTTGGTGTGTTGCGGGAGGATCAAGTTGGGCCACATCCGGTTTCGGGTAGGCCAAAGATTGCTCATGATGTCCTAGAGGGGATGAGGCAGTATTTATTGGTGGCAAATGGTGAGGACAGAAAAATCAAAGAAGACAGAGTTAGGAAATCAGTTAAGGAAGCTGAAAGCTCTACTTTGACTCAGAAGACTGTTCTTAGTTTGGAACCTGCTCCAATCATTACTCATGATCTAGAGAAAGGTAAAGGTCTTGTTTTTGGTTATTCGTCTACTAAAACTGATCCAGGCTTCAATGCTACAATGGCTTCAAGGGGTTCAGCGCTGCAAATTGGTGGTGGCAATAGGGGATTATCCCAGAATTGCAGTATTTATTCTGATGCGGGTTCAGGTGAAGGATGTGCTGAATCTAATCAGTTTCTTGTATCTGATAAGAGCTATTTGATTGGAGTTTCCCATGCTGGGCCTTCCTTGGGTTTACTAAAGAAGACAAAATCAAGGAAAAGAAACACCAAGCATTCAAGGAAAGCAAAGGGTAAATGTGAAGATATTTGTCCTGAAGATGTGGTGAAGAAACAAGGATCTATTGCAGGGTCAGTTGAAAAGAGAAAGGCAAAGGATGATCTGGAAGGTGTCTCCAGTGCTGTAAGGGTAAAAACACCATTGATGGTCCCAAAGGAGGGACTGTCCAAAATCTGATGAGCATATTAAGCTGGAATTGTCAGGGAATGGGGCGGCCTCAAGACTTGACAATTCCTCGCCTCATGGAACTGCGTAAAAAACATTTTCCGGAGGTGCTGTTCTTAATGGAGACTATGAATTGTAAGAATGTTATTGTAGATATTCAAGTTTGGTTGGGGTATGATCATGTATATACAGTTGATCCGGTTGGTACATGTGGTGGCTTAGCTTTATTTTGGAAAAACAGTGTTGATATTGAGATCAAGTTCGCAGATAAGAATGTGTTGGACCTGTTTGTACAGTTAGGGTCTAACAATTTCTTTGTTTCCTGTGTGTATGGCAATCCAAATGCTAGTATGAGACAAGAGGTGTGGGAGAGATTGACTAGGATTGGGGCTTCAAGGAAGGAGAGTTGGTGTATGGTTGGAGATTTCAACGAGATACTCAATAATTCTGAGAAAATTGGAGGACCTAGGAGGTGTGAGTCTTCTTTTAAACCTTTCTCTACTATGCTTAGTGATTGTGGTATGACTGAACTGGCAAGCTCTGGGAACAGCTTTACTTGGGGTGGTAGAAGGCAAAAGTTGTGGATTCAATGCAAATTGGATAGAGGTTTTGGTAACAAAAGTTGGACGGGTATGTTCCCTGCTTCAAATCAAGGCTTCCTGGCTAAAAGAGGATCAAACCACATACCAGTTTTGGTGAATCTGGTTTCATCTCAAGCCTCTTATAAAGGGTCTTTCAGGTTTGATAAGCGTATGCTCCATAAGCCTTTGGTGAAAGAAGCGATTACCATTGCTTGGAACTCCTCTGTTAACTCTGCTGATGATGGTGTCTCTACTCGTTTGAGGAAGTGTAGGAAAGCACTGAGCAAGTGGAAGAAGGAAAATGACTTGAACTCTAATGTCAAAATTACTGCTCTTGAAAATGATTTAGAATTTGTCCAATCTGTAGCTTGCCCTTCCTCTATCAGGATTAATCAACTGAAGAACAGCCTTGTAGAAGCTTATAGAGAGGAGGAAAGTCATTGGCAACAGAAGAGTATTGCTACTTGGCTTCATGCGGGAGACAAAAATACTAAGTATTTTCATGCATCTGTGAAGAACACAAGATCAAAGAATGTTTATACTGTTTTGATCAATGGGCAGCCTTTTGGTTTGATTAACCCAAAAAGGGGTTTAAGACAGGGTGACCCCTTATCACCATCCTTGTTTGTCTTATGTGCTGAAGGACTAACTCACCTGCTAAACAAAGCTGAACAGACCGGAAGTATTAATGGACTTCAGTTCTCTGTTGATGGCCCTGCAATTCACCATCTTTTATTTGCGGATGACAGCTTGTTTTTATTCAAAGCGAAGGAAGATCAATGTGAAGTTGTCCAAAACCTCCTCTCTTCATATGGTAAGGTCACATGCTAACTCATTAATCTTGATAAATCTTCCATTACCTTTGGGATTAATGTTGATCAGATGGATAAAGGGAAAATTCAAGAGAAATTGGGGATTTTCAGTGAAGGAGGATTCGGTTCATATCTTGGTTTGCCTGAGTGCTTCAGTGGCTCCAAAGTTGATCTGTTGGCCTACATACATGACAAAATGAAAGCTAGAATGTCTGATTGGTTTGCAAAAACCCTATCTCAAGGAGGTAAGGAAGTTTTGCTCAAAGCTGTTGCCATGTCAATGCCAGTATATGCTATGTCCTGCTTTAAGATGCCAAAAACCACTTGTGATAAGCTCTCTGCGGCTATGGCGGCCTTCTGGTGGGACTCTACTGAAGACAAAAGGAAGATGCATTGGATAGGCTGGGACAAGCTGTGTCTTCCCAAACATGTGGGAGGTCTAGGGTTCAAAGATATCCAGGTCTTTAACCAAGCCTTGCTTGCCAAACAGGCCTGGAAAATCTTGCAGGATAAGGACAGTTTGTGTTCAAGATTTTTAAAGAGCAGATATTTTGAGGAAGGCACATTTCTTCAAGCTTCTTTGGGAGATAGACCCTCCTTTGCTTGGAGGAGCATACTTCATGGTAGAGATCTCCTACTTCTTGGTCTTAGAAAGATGATTGGTGATGGGGAAGATACATTTGTTTGGACTGCTCGATGGATTTTGGATGGTGTTATGAGAGCCCTACTCATGAGAAACATCATTTTTGATTTGGATATGAAGGTAAAAGATCTGTTGGATCCAATTGCTGGTACTTGGGATTTGGAGTCTTTACAGGAGCATTTCTTTCCCAGAGATGTTGAATTGATCTTAAAAATCAAACCGGTCATCTCCTCTGAAGATTTTCA